TGTGACAGGCAAATAATGTAATTCGTCCCCCCCCTTTAAGCCTACCCCAATGGGTCTAGAAAACTTTGGTTAAGATGTTGGAAGAAGCTATATAAAACTAAAGACATAGCCCCTAAGTGTTCTTAAGCCCTATAAGTTGAAGTGGCTTTGGCCGCAATGTATGTCCTTTTGGGGACACTAGATCCGTTTTGGTGAACTACCCTTGTCCTAGTTTATGTTTTGCTAACCCTAAGCATGTGACATGCTTCTCAAATTAGGGCTTTATTCATATTTTATAGTGCTAATTAAACTTTAAACATCATTAAACATTTTTTATAATTTAATTTTCTGGCCAGCAAGCGAAAGTAGAAGCTGCCTGGAAAATTAGGACCAACTTGGAGGCAAGAGTGTATAATCTGTATGCTTGGACCACATTTTTGGAGTCTGTGCTAGTTCAGCGGCGCAGAAATTAATTAAGAATAATTAAGTATTTGATTTGATCTGTCACTACTTGGTGTTTTTGGATAAGGATTGTTTGTCCTCCTTGTTCCCGTGCTCTCTCATGTCTTTCTATTTGTGTGGTCACGATTAAGTCACGTCAACATTTTATGTTACTATTTATTTTCGTCTTATTATCTCTATAAAAAAAAATATAAAATGTTGGCGTAGCTTAACCGTGACCACACAAAACAGGAGGGCAAGGGATGGCACGGGAACAAGGAGGGCAGACAATCCTTGTCCGGTGTTTTTTGCTTTAATTTGGTTGATTGCCTCCTTGCAGGCTTTCTCTGTATCCTATTGGCATCTTTGCCCTGATATTGAAGTATTAGTTCTCCAAAAAAAAAAAAAAATATATATATATATATATATAGATGCTCCGGTTAAAAGATTCAACAATGAAAATAAGGTTAAGAGAAAAACGGACAGAAGAAGACCTAAGAGAACTTGGAAATAGACTTTTTAATAAATAAAAATATGGAATATTTTGAGGCTTGGAGCTAATGAAAGACTTGTCACAAAATTGTGCACACTGACGTTCTAAAATTATAGAACCTATCATATTTAATGAGATAAAACTTGATTGTTGTTGTTGGGCTCTATTTATATGAGCCAGTGAAATGTGATTTGAAGGCACCTTTATGTTCAATATCAAAATGAATACCTGAAAATCATGGAAAAATGAATTGAAATCTCATCGGCACCACACCACACTTTGGGGACCCTCAAATTGTCGCAATCTGAGTTATTATACCTTTAATTTATTTATTTTTATATATTCATACTTTACAATTGAGAAATTTTTGAATCCGACAACGGAATTAGGTCAGCTAACGTTACATACCTTGTATCTTTTAATTAGTAGAGTAAGAAACTCAAAGTCGAGGGAGATACATGGAGCAACTGAGTCATTCAGTGCGCATACCTCCGCACAAATAGATGTATATAATCATGCCAAACCCTACATATTTTCCACTCCTATGTTCAAAAAGATGCAATAGGTACATATAGACTCATAGTTACTAAAAGAAGATAAATGCTTGGGATACTCAAGAATGAGTAGAAACTCCTACTCGAAACTTTTTGTTATCGAATCACTTAGTTTTGTGTTTATGATCAGAACCGTTCATATTATGAATCACATTGCAAAAATCATCTCTACAAAACTTGATTAAAACTAATATCGTTTAACCAATATATTGTAGCAAATACATAGACGGTTTGTAATACTTTTACCAATTCCATTCATCTGCTTTTATACAGTTCTATGACTAAACGACTGTACTTGTAATTGATTTTTTTTTAGAGTCGGTCTTTATAATATGAACAGTTTTTATCATAAACACGAAGTTCTATCAATCGGCAACAACGAACAATTTTGAGTAAAAACTCATTTTCGTTAATTCTTTGAGCATCCAAGTATTTTTCTCAAAAGAAAGACAAGCATGGGCTCTCAAAGTTGCAAACTTTCTGTAAAGTTCAAGAGCATGGTTTATGCCAACGCATGTCTGTAAAGTAGATACGAAACTGTTTAGGATTAAACATTGCATGTGTATGAAATAGCAGAAAGATAAGAGATGTGTCAAATGGAAATTGGAATCTAATAATTTTACTTAAGGACTTTTAAACAAGGTGTTAATCATTGTTAGTTGTGGGAGGATGCTCATTTGGCCGCAAAGTGAAGAACAAGCTGAGGTTGGGATGGCGTTACATTTACAAAAGGAAATGCCCATCTTCTTCAAATGATGGTCTCTGGCATGTGTATCTCAGTTGAACTCCATACCGGCTTTTGGTTTTTAGGAGAATCCAAGAAATAGCTAGGCTAGGAGGAATTCACAAATATAAAGTTATATCAATGATGAATCCACTTTTCTCATTATGCATTCTCGAGTAACCCTGAAGTTGGTGTACACTACATAGAATAGAACAATTCATGAAACAATTAAATCAAGATTGACATAGCCAGCGAAGGATCAAACTTCGAGAGTTGTCCTTGTAACCAAAATTCACTAGCGTCATGGCAAATGCCCTTTCCATGGTGGTGTGGGAACCGAATGGAAATGAACTTTTGGGTGACTGTTGTTATGACATTTCCTAATTGCCAAAGGTTCGACCTAAGCCTAGTTTGTGTCATAGCAATCTGGATTGTACGAGAAATTTGAACTCGAATTTAAGGAAGCGGACACACTGCCATGATTAACTAACCTTCTGTCTAAGATTAGGCATTTCGATTATTGAATGGTTCGACATAAATGGGCACAGGAGCCGAAACCCAAATAGCCCATGAGCATGATAGGCCCATTTGTAGCTGGATAACTGAAACTCAAACTAAAACCTGTACAAAGGTGAGCCCAGCCCAATATAACTATTCGATTCTCGCGCTTCACAATTCAAATTTCAAATCCACACCCCCCAAAATATAGAACTAACGGTCATGAATAGCTGGATCCCACCAAAACCTCTCTTCAAAATTTGAACCCACCCGAAATTCTCGGCATCAATGCCGTTATAAATTCCCAAATCTCACCCTTCTCACAAATTCAAATCCTCAAATTTCGAACTCCCTCTCTTTCTCTGCAGATCTCGCCCTCTCCTCTCACGCAAACAAAGATCCCAAAGAAATCAACTGAAAAATGAGAGAGTGCATCTCCATCCACATCGGCCAGGCCGGAATCCAAGTCGGAAACGCCTGCTGGGAGCTCTACTGCCTCGAACACGGCATCCAGGTCTGTTCCCTTACGATTTCTTCCCCAATTTCGTTTCCAGGGTTTTGTTTATCTCTGTCGTAAATTTGATTTGGGAATTTTTTTGTTGCAGCCTGATGGCCAAATGCCGAGTGACAAGACCGTCGGTGGCGGAGACGACGCCTTCAACACTTTCTTCAGCGAAACCGGAGCCGGAAAGCACGTTCCCCGTGCTGTGTTCTTGGATCTTGAGCCTACCGTCATCGATGAGGTCAGGACCGGCACTTACCGCCAGCTATTCCACCCGGAGCAGCTCATCAGCGGCAAGGAAGACGCCGCTAATAACTTCGCCAGAGGCCACTACACAAGTAAGAAACTTTCTCACTACCCCAATTTCAAATTTCAAATACCAAAATACGTAATCATCTTTCCGTTGATTCCCGTTTGATTTATTGTGTTCGTATTTGAACAGTTGGGAAGGAGATTGTGGATCTCTGCCTTGATCGAATCCGAAAGCTTGCCGACAACTGCACTGGTCTTCAAGGGTTCCTGGTGTTCCACGCTGTAGGAGGTGGGACTGGCTCTGGCCTCGGCTCTCTGCTCCTGGAGAGGCTCTCTGTCGATTACGGAAAGAAATCTAAGCTGGGGTTCACAGTCTACCCGTCTCCTCAGGTCTCAACCTCTGTCGTTGAGCCGTACAACAGTGTGCTGTCCACTCACTCCCTCTTGGAGCACACTGATGTGTCGGTTCTCCTCGACAATGAAGCCATCTACGACATCTGCCGCAGGTCTCTTGACATCGAAAGACCCACTTACACCAACCTCAACCGGCTGGTCTCTCAGGTAAAACTGATTGAAACTCTCGTTGTGCACTGAAGGTGTTTGATAATTTGCCTGTGTGCACTCTTACTGATTGACAGTTTGTTTCCTGTGGATTTCTTGCTAATGTGGATGAGAAATTGTGTGTTCTGTGCAGGTTATTTCCTCACTCACTGCTTCTCTGCGTTTTGACGGGGCGCTCAATGTGGACGTGACGGAGTTCCAGACCAATTTGGTCCCCTACCCAAGAATCCACTTCATGCTTTCGTCTTATGCACCTGTGATCTCCGCTGAGAAGGCCTACCATGAGCAGCTCTCCGTGGCAGAAATCACCAACAGCGCCTTTGAGCCGGCGTCTATGATGGCTAAATGTGACCCAAGGCACGGGAAGTACATGGCCTGCTGTTTGATGTACAGAGGAGATGTGGTTCCGAAAGATGTCAATGCTGCCGTGGCCACCATCAAGACCAAGAGGACTATTCAATTTGTGGATTGGTGCCCGACTGGGTTCAAGTGCGGCATCAACTACCAGCCTCCTACTGTTGTTCCTGGTGGCGACTTGGCCAAAGTTCAGAGGGCTGTGTGCATGATTTCCAACTCTACTAGTGTTGCCGAAGTGTTTTCGAGGATTGATCACAAGTTTGATCTCATGTACGCCAAGCGTGCTTTCGTGCATTGGTATGTTGGCGAGGGCATGGAGGAAGGAGAGTTTTCTGAGGCTCGGGAGGACTTGGCGGCGCTAGAGAAGGACTATGAGGAAGTTGGGCTTGAGTCTGCTGAAGGTGATGATGGTGAAGATGATGAGTATTAGTTTGTTGTTGGTTTAGGCTAAATAGCTGTTAATGGGTTCCTGCCAATGGACTCATTGGTTTATTGTTTCTCTTGTTGAAGTTTAGTAGTATTAATGGATGCCTTCTTTTGTCACAACTTGGTCTCGTGGTGATGATATTCGGCTTACTTTAAAGTCCAAATCCTGAAGCACTTTTGCTACAAGTGTTCTTAACAGAAAATCTGAAGATCTAATTAAAGTCCAAATGCTTTTCAAAGTGTTTCCTCTACAATACAACTATAGTCGGAATCACTTTTAATTGTCTGAAATCGCTTTTGGCCCTTCATAAGCAGCTCCCGGGAAAGCGGAGATGTGATTTTTGTTTAACTGTACAGCAACGTTTGCAGATCAATCGATTACAATTTTATCCTAGAAGAAAACAAAAAATACAAAGATGGAAATTAATTCTAACGCTTCATTTGTCTTCCCGGAATTTTTCATTGCTGCTCTTGACCTGAAAGCTACCTGTTCTTTTTTTTGTTTTTTTTGAACAATGAAAGCTACCTGTTCTTCTTCCTAAATAAAAACAATGAAAAAGCCCATTAAGATCCAAATAAAGAATATGGGCCAGGCCCAATAACAGGCACGGAGCTGAAAGCCTGAAAAGTTACGTTATGAAGACATTTTCGCGCGAATACGAGTGATAAATGGAGGGAAAGCGCAATAGTCGAAGAAAATGAAAGAAAAGGAAAAAGTTTGAAACCGCCGTTTGGATGCCGAGAAAATTTCTTAATCTCACAACAACTAATATTGATCTTAACAGAAATTCAGAACTTTCTTTGATCAGATTAGAGGATTTCGAAAAATAATTATTTACTTCTGAAATGAAAATCCACATTTCTGAGAAAGTTAAAAAAACAATCCCGTTTGAGGTCCACGAATTTTCCGAGCATCCAAACAGCAGCTAAATTTTCCGAGCATCCAAATAACAGGAATGGTCAAAACCTCAAAAGTTCAAACAAACAATCAAAGCCACATCCAATAATTGCAAATCAAGATTTGAAAACAATCAAGATCGCCAGCGATTCCAGAAATCGGTCAGAATTCATGGTCTCCAATTCTCTCTTACTAACGAAATCAAAGAAACTAACGCAACAAATTAATCAATCAATTTCAGAAAAATAGAGGAAAGAATTAACAAACCTGAACATCATTAGCAAAGTTATTAGTGCAGATTAACCGTTGATTGTGTTCTTGAGAGGCGAGGAAGGCAAGATTGGCCGGGCGAATAGAACGACGTCAATGCCGTGATAATCTTTTCCAGATGCAGCGGCAGCACCGATCAGAGCCGTACTCTCGCCGAGATGCGAGTCCTCCTCTCTGATCCTCAAGATCTGGCTGTGCAGCACGCACCCCGTCTTCTTCGTCTTCCCCCTCCGCCATCGCCCCACCGACCTCGGCGACTCCATCTCTTCCGACGATCCCGCGCTGTCCTCATCCCGGTCCTCCGTACACGCCTTCTTCTCCTTCGACGATACGGACAGCATGCTCCGCCGGACCTCCTCCGGAATCTCGCTCTGGTTCCGGTTCTCCTCCTCCGGCTTGTAACGCAGTGTCATCATGTTGGTTGAAACGGCTCGGATTGCGCAGTGGCGAGAGCTCTGGCTCGGGATCTGCGTTTTTATAGCCTTCATTGCGGGTGGAAACTTATGGGAGCGCGACACGTGGAGAATGATGAGAGAGAAACGATGGTGTCCACGTGGTGGACTGATGGGACTTGTGGTTGTTATAAACTCCCCGACTCGGAAGCCGCTCTAACGGTTTTTTCAGCTGCAGTCATGTGGATTAGGAGGACGAGGCCGTTCCCCGTTTTGTGAGGAAATCACTTGGTGATTTGGTTTACACTTATCCAAATCCCATTGTGACGGTTTTTTAAATCAAAGAGAAGGTTCGAACATGACAATTAACTTGTAATTTTACTTTAATGTCTTTATTTTTTAGAGCGAGAAGAATTTGACTAGATTAGTTAGGTTGCTTAGTTCTATCTTTTTTTCTTGTTCGCACATAAATTATCTAGTAGTTTGGTTGATTATGTCTCACATTGATGTATCATGACATTGAGGAAGCTTGTTATATGGTGACATGCCACGACTATTCATCATTCTGTGGACCAGAAAAACTTACAAAGAAATCTTGTTATTGCATAGCCGCAATAACGAAAAACAAACTTACACCTTCTAGACTCGTAGTACATATCATTGCAACATGACACGTGTTTGATTTAGAACAGTGCCACACAACACCCACACAGAAGATTTTATAGGATAATTAATCACACTAAGAGTCAACATTAGGATTAAGTGGTGTGGACATGGCAGTGGATTAATAGCCAAGTATTTAACTAGGGGGATTTAATGGGACAAGTGGCATGCATGGGATTTGAAGGGTGTTATTGATTCAAATTGAAAACTTTAAGAGCTTATTTGGTAAATTAGTTGGAATAGATTATGATCAATTAAAATATATTTGAGTCCAGTCTCTTGTTTATTGTGTCAAAATATGAGATGGATAGAACTAGACGTGATGAGTTGTGATCAACATATCCCTACCAATTCAATCTTATCCCAAAGACCCAATCCGTCCAGCCCACCAAACAGGCACTCAAAGCATGGCCACCCAAGACGATTAAAATAGAAACGTGGTCAAGTGTGTAATTGCAATAAGATTACGACCATACTGAACATGGGACACGTAGTGAATTTGATATCTCAAATGCAAACCGTGATACCTTTGGATTCTGAATACATGCACGAGAGAGATGGAAACCCGACTCCATACCTACAAACGCCATCTCTCACCATATTGATCGACATCAATAACGTGGTTAGATTTAGATTGTATATTTTGATTTCATGTGTTAGTAAACGTATTACTGGTTCTAATTGATCGGATCCCCGATGATATAGTAAACGACTGAAACTCAAGAATTCGAACGAGGGAAATAATTTACACACCCGTTTATCCTTTTCTACAACAACACAACACAACAAAACCTTTTCCTACTAAGAATGATCGAGACCCGTTTACACACCCGTTTATCCAAGTAAATTTATGACCCTTGAATAGAACGAAACTAAAAAGAATCAAGAGACAAAAATAAAACGTAAAAAGACTCAAAAGAAAGTGCCCAAAGCTTCCGCAAGGTAACGCAAAATTCATTACTTAAAAGAGTATTTAAAGCAAAAAATTTGAGTTCTAGTCGCAACAAAGCAAGAAACGCTTAGTAACATCCACTACAATACGGACTGTAAAGTCGGCAAAAGAAACTAACGATAAAATTACGGCTCATGATATCAAAACGGTTCTAAATTGAGAGGCCTCCACTTCATTCTTCTTCCTCTTCGTCGCCATCACCACCAGCAGCCTTCTTGGCAGCGGCCTTCTGGTTCCTTCTCTTCACTCTTCCAGGGCGCCCACCTCCGAGGGGACTGGTGAGAGAGAAGTCAATGTGCTTCTGGGAGTCGACCCTCACCATGAAAGATGGGATGTTGACCAACTGCCTTCCCACCCTGACAATGAAACAAGGATATTGTACATTAAACACTACAAGCTTTGACATCAAACTTATAACACCACATACAAGGCATTTCTTAAGCAGGTTCCATGATAACATAGCACTGTAAAACCAAGATGGTTAAAGCAGATAAAATAAAAAAATCCCACAAGTCCCACCCTCCAACTCTGCATCCCAAAAAGTAGATAGATAAAGAATGTTCGTTTCACTATGCTTAATCCGAAGATACCAACCATACCAATAACAAAAGCGTGGTATGAATGATGTGCGTTCACAATAACATCAGAAAAACAGTAGACACAAGCAGTTAACCCACTTATTCACGAAAATTAACCTCATAAACCCGCACAAATGACCAGACAAGAAGGAATAACCAAGAGAGTGGTTAGGATATGTGAAGGTTAATTAACAAAAGACGGGACAATCCTTAGCAAATCAAAACAACTTGAAACTAAATTAAGAAACAAGAAGATCAACCATGACAGTACAGAAATTGTTACCTTATTAAATTCACCTGCCAAGTATAGATATGTAACAAACAGATAACACAAACAACATGTTTTGAGCAACAATGTTTATACCTGATGTGCCTTTGCCTGATGAGAACTCTGGCGTGGTGGATGGACTTGGCCATACCACTTTTGAACACAAGGGTTTGAAGACGACGCTCCAAAAAGTTCTCCACAGTCAGAGCCAACACATAATCGAGCTTGTTCTGGCTCTCATCCAGAAGCCCATATCTGTTCATCCTGCGAAGAAGAGCCTCACCCTCAAAGATACGGCGAGGATTTTTCTCATCCAGGGTAAGGAGTTCCCTGGCAGCATTACGGATACGGCTCAGAGAATACTGAACCCTCCACAGTTCCCTCTTTGCGCGGAGTCCATATTCCCCAACCAGCTTCAGCTCAGCATCCAAACGTTCTTTCTCATAAGGACGACGTGGCTTCTTGAAAGTCTTCCCATCTGACATCACACATCAAAATGCATACACATTTCAATACAAGTTTTCATTCACCAATATCAAATTGGCAAGAACAAAATCATAATTCGACCCCTTGCATTTCATTACTCAATAGTAAACAGCTTCGTAATTCATGGATTAATAACAACGATAAAAACGTAATCTTTAAGCACCCACCTACGAATTTTTACTAAACTCCAACTCTTTTGGGGCTTCTTTCTTTCTAATCGAAAAACGGCTTCAGCAGAAATAGTTTACAACAAGATTTCTCAATACAAATTCTTCAAACAAAACAAGATTGTGCTACACCCAGCATAAACAAAGGCAGCATGATTATCCTATGAGAATCCCCTAACATCAAAAGGCCAAAAAAATAAAACTGAATAAAAACAGATTAAAGACACATTTGGGTGCAACCGATTCAGTAAAAAGTAGCTAATCAACGAAATCAAAGTCAAATGCTGATTAGCACAAATGGGTAACTCAAAAAACTGATCAAACTTTAAGGGAATACATGATAAACACAGAAAAACTAATCAATTATAAAAATTAGAACAGAAAGCAATCAAAATTAACAAACACAGATAAAAAGGGTCGATCGAAACCCTAACAGCTGCATAGAAATAAGATAGAGAGGGAGATGAGAGGCTTACAGTTGCGGTAATGGACGACGTGCACCATGGCTGGGTAGCCCTAGGTCAGATCAAGAAAGGAGAGCGAGGGAGAGAGGGAGGCTCGCGCGGCCGAGTTCTGAGATATAAGAGGACGACGCAAATGGCACGTTGTTTCGCTTTATAGGCAAACCCTAAATTGGCTAAACCCTAACGGCACAAGCGTAATGACATGTTTGCCACTGTGTTGGTGATGGGCTTCTGCGTAAAAAGCCCTTTACCTTTGGATTGGACTTTGCCCTTTTCGGGCATGAGCAGCCAATTTTGGGCTGCCTACAGTCCAACTGGTCCAACTGAAGTTCGTTATTTAGGTATCGTTTGGTATGCAGACGGGACGAGACGAAACAGAATGAGATAGGACGGGACGGAATGGAGAGGGAGCAAAGATGTCCTCTGATGTGAAATGAGTCGTTCCAGGGAATAGCGTGGGACGAAAATTCATCCAAAATTCGTCCAAAATTCGTCCCGTGGAATAGCGTGTTCCACCCGTTTTAGGCACACCAAACGTGGGACGGAACGCCTCGTCCCACTCCGTTCTGTCCTGTCCCATGTACCAAACGGTATCTTAGGGATTTAGTGGGTGTTGGTTACAGTCTGAAATCTAAAAATCATTTCGTTTTAATTAAAATTTTAAAACAAATTGGTTATCAAACGCAGTAGTTTTTATTTTCTGTATCTTGTGTGTATATTTTCTATATCTTGTGTGTACGCACCTTTAAAATCTTGTAGTCGTATGAAATGAAAGGAAATAATTGTATATTAAAAAGTACAAGCGAAAACAAAAATTTTATTACTTCATGCGACTTACTAAAATCGCTAAGCTAACACTCTTAATAATTATTTAAAAACATATGAACGCACATTGGATCCAAATTCTATTTTCTAAATTGTTAAATGCAAAACAATCAAATTTTATTGTAGTAACAAACTAGCAATCCAGTCACTATTGAATGTGTGGGTTTATTGTATTAACAAACTATACCAACCTAAAACGAACCAAAATTGGTCGAATTGGTTTTGTTTGGTCACTTTGGACGGTTCTACCCAATTCTTGTCCGCACCTAACCATGCTCACGGTCGACACAGATTTTTTTTTTCTTTTTTCTTTTTTTGAATAATACTCGATAGATTCATTCCATTGCAAATAAAAAGACCCGAATTACAGAGTTTTACGTCGATTACAAAACAGCTTCTTCAAAAAATAAATCTGAGATGAGTTGTACACTTTACCCATACACTAGCATCTCTGCACGCACTAAAGGTGTATTGTATTAGTTGTTTTCTTTCTCATACAGATTTTTACTTTGTTCATGAACGTGAAATGTATTATGATTTGATATATTTATATATATAAAACAGAAATGAGATGCTCTGCAAAATCAGAAATGAGATGCTCAGCAAAATCATAATCTCATCAATCTTTCTTCAACTCAAGCAACTGGAACTATCTAGCCTGGCCCATACTCTAATGTTGAACATCTTAGTCCCAACCCGAAATGGCAC